ATTTCAGTGACGTTACGCTCGATAACCTGACTAACATTAATTGTGATATTGAGGGCGATAATTGGAATAACAACTTGAATGATATTGAGGCAGCAATTTGAGCGACTGTGAGTGCAATAATTTGAGCAGAACTAGGCGTGAACAGCGGAATTATTAAGTACGGGCGTTACCCGTAAAAATTTAAGACAACATTGAGCGTGATAACCTGGGCAATAACTTAAAATATGTTAACTCATATTTTAAATTATTGCCCAACATGTTTTGAGTGCGACAATCCAAATGATTATGAGTGCGACTACTTGAGTGACATTAAGAAATTAATTTTATTGTTTGCACAATACTTGTTCCATTCTATTTAGGGTAATTCTGGATGGGATGGACAATCGCTGTTTATTTCCAATGGATTGGATCTACAGAAATTTGTTACTAACATTTTCTGTGGGAAATTAAAGTTTCTACAAAAAATATCTTATGATAAATTTCTCATAGATCACTCAGTAACGAGATAGGTATTTGTGAAAAATGAAAATATCATATTATATCAGATTTTGGGCAAAAACTTATCAATTTGATGTAATTATGAATAAGAAAGAAATTCGGCATCATTGAATATTCCTTTAATCATCCCTCAAACAGTTTTTTAAATGGAAAACTAACAGTGTCCATTTCACAGTTTTCAGGAATCATTATTTGAGTTACATGCCTGCATGCATGTATATTTGTGTGTATATAAGTAATCAAACAAGGTTATATCTCGGAAATTTCATATATAAGTTACATCTCCATTCAATTAGTTCCCTGTTAAATTTCATTCATATCGGTGCTTTAGTTTCTGAAATATACTAGTTTTCCAAAAATTATTTTATTTTCTCCTTCAAAAACTACACTGGCATTTGATACGGGCTTTATTCTGATAAATAAGTTATTTCTAACAGTTTTTGTATCATACGTTTATGTACAATTTTTCAATGAAAACGTGCTTACTAAGCACGATAATTCAGTAAATAATTGTTTCTGAATGTTTAAATTTTGTGACACGGTAGGAATTTCGTTAACGATGGTCGGTATCAAACTTCAGCAAAATCAATCGAATAATTTCGAAGCCAAGAAATTCAAAGTTGAGAAAAATTTGCGATAGCAAATATGGCATTATCATTGGCATTATCATTGGTCAATTTTAATTTTCGTATATTTTAGTTAATAGTTGTATATTTCAAAAAACATCCAATGAAACCGACTTTATAGTTGCAGTTTTCGAAATAAACCTTTTTTGGCATAAAACTTTTGAATTATTCGTGCATTCTTTCAATTATGTGATTTGAAATTAATTTTTTGTTTGTTTTTTTTTTATGTGAAAAGATGTATTCTTTCGATTTTGAATATTGTGTTCGTTCACACGGAAGTTGTCAGCTGTGCGCGTTTTTAAAACAAAAGAGTAAGTATACATTGATCTTCATTTATTTTCTCAGTCTCGCAGATAGATTCGTGTCTGAATGCATAACTTATCACCGCCTCGTGTTGTACATAATTGTTTTTTTCGTTTGGAAATTCTCATCGATTCTGAAAGCTCTCATATTATTGAGAATTATGGATTTTACGCTACAAGAATACACGCGGATCGTGCTTATGTACGGAGAGTGTGAAAATAACGCGAATCGTACTCGAAGGTGCTACGCCGAGCGCTATCCCAATGATCGGCTTCCTAGTGTGCGAGGTATTTTGAACATAATCAACCGCTTTTGTGAGACGGGAAATGTATTGCCAAATCGAAGGGGGGTGGGAGCGGGTGGATGGAATGCTCGAGATCCCGAGGAGATTGAGGCAGTTCTTGAACAGTTCCGAGAAGATCCAACAACATTAACACGTATTGTCGCAAGACGTCTTGGAATGCATCAAAAAACAGTGTGGAAAATTCTCCATGAAGCTGGCATGCATCCCTACCATTATAGAAGGGTGCAGGGTCTGCTAGAGGGAGATAGGCAACAACGTCTTCGTTTCTGTCAGTGGGTACTACAACAGCATCATAACAATCCAGATTTTCTAAGTCAAGTTTTATGGACAGATGAATCGACATTTGGTCACTGTTTAAACTGGAACCAACGGAACAATCACTCCCGGAATTATGAAAATCCTCGATTGACCGTGCCAAATCGAGTTCAGCAGCATCGATTCAAGAAGACACTATGGATGGGAATTACTGGGAATCGCCTGGTAAATTCAATAGATCAATATTTCATTAGTATGAAAATCAGATCGGCTGTGAGAAATACAAAATTGAAAATTGCAAATTGCGGAGACAGCATTTTTTTGGGCTTTATTCTAATTTTATTTTATTTTTCTTTACTTGGGTAATAGGAATGGGAACGAATTATACACTACTAAAAAATCAGTCACTTTCGGCAATTTTATTTCTATCGACACAAATTCTATATTTTAAGCAAATATTTATGAGACAATTCTTTGCAATAATAATATACTTTCATTGTTTCCAAATTTATTAATTAAAAAGCTTCAAAATACGAAATATTATTTGCCATTTAAAATATACTTTGCAGTGTCATTCTTTTGACAGTAGTTTCATCGAAGCTCAAGGGTGTTCGAGACGGACAGTCAGAACAAAAATTTATAACGACCCCTTCATATCGTCATAGTCGGCTCAAATAATGTGTTATAAATATTCAAATTCCTCACTCACTTGAGTAATAGTGTTAGGAACTAATAAGATCAATTTTGATTTAATAAATAATTATATTATTAAAACAAATGAATACAAAAAAAATAGTAGACAATCATCTTGAAATTTTGACTATCGTTGCATACTCGTCCAAGTAATATATGTTCAGAATATCACCCAAATCTTATTTTATTGTGGAATGTGTATAGGAATTTATTTTATCTGAAGAGCTTGTGTTAAATTCAATTTTTTGTAAATTGATGATAACAAATCGGTGTTGTGAATCGATCTCAAATTATTCGGTCGAATTCTCCCCTTTGTATTGCATTGTTAACTAAGAACTTCAATTTTTATGCCAGATCGGGCCGTGCAGATTTCATGCCAATGTTAATGGACACAACTACCGATTGCTCATTCGAACGCGCCTACCCCGTCTCCTGATCCGAGCTGGAGTTCCATACGCTGCACAGAGATTAATGTGGTTCCAGCACGACGGTGCTCCCCCTCATAATGCCCTGCGTGTCAGAAATTATTTGGATCGAACATTTCCCCGACGATGGATTGGTCGAGGTGGTCCAGTACCGTGGCCTCCAAGATCTCCTGATCTCAATCCTCTGGATTATTTCTTATGGGGTTATCCCCAGGACCGTGTCTACACTCCATAAGTCATTGAAACTGTCGAAGAGTTGCAACAGTGCATAAGAGCGGCAGTTCAGACCATTACACCGGAAATGCTGGAGAGAACTCGATTGAATCTGGTGAGACGAGCAGAACTCTGCATCCAAGAGAATGGTGGACATTTTGAGCATCTCTTAAAGTAGTATTTACAGTGGTTAATGTTCATTATCAATGACCTAACAAAAAACATTACATGCTTTCGGTGCTCTATTTTTTTGGTTGTATAGGGCCCATGTCTTAGGCGATTCATCAGTACAATGGTCTTATTTATTTTATTATCGTAGGGAACGTCTCGTTTGACACTCAAATTAATCATACCGACAAGTTTCTATAAACAGTAGCATTAGCAATTTCCATAGAAAAATCTATTACGGATAGCGATGGAACGTTCAAAAAGACAGCCGTTTTTCAATGAACGATATATATGGATGGCACGTCACATTTATTTGCTATAGAAAAACTGAAAATTTACTTAGGAGAATTCAATTTTTTAACAGTTTTTCTTCAATTTCATAAAGGAACGAAAATTCAAAATTAAACAATTTTGTTGTAAAAATATCGTTCACTGAAAACAGGCAGATTCTTCACGAACATTCCATAGCCACTAGCAATAGATTTTTCAATCGAAATTCCTCTAGCCATGATCTATAGAAACTTATTTACGTGATCGTATTGATCTTCATTTCCCGACATAAAGAGAATAGTACTCATCAAAATGAATATTATGAAATTTCTCATGATTTCTTCAACCCTAAATGACGGAAATTCATTTTAAAAAAGTAAGAAATAAGATGAGACTCTTTGCAATTCTGCGTTGAAATGTTTTATCTCACATTCCAAATAGACTGTTGCTGTGATATTTGTGTTTTTTATTTATTTTTATTTTTAATTGATAAAGTTTATATTACTGAGAATTTATGTCAATACATTTAGCATATGAATTATCGAGGGATGGTCAAGAAAATTTTTATAAAATTACTGGCGCATTCAAATAATTATACGATTTTAGAGCTGAGTAATGGATGATGTTAAAGCTTTCAATGTATTTTGAATGAATAAATAATAAAATTTATCATTACTACAAATTTTTATTTCAACTACAGTAATTCCAAGACAACGAGGCGACCATAATCGAATAAGGAATAATGAGTACAAAATTGTCATTACCCTTTTTTGTTCCCTTCTTTTTCCTATTGAAAAATTTGACGTAACATTTCCACCAAAGGAAGAACAATTAAATTTCAAATAATGAGGTAATGATTCACAACTAAAATAAAATAAAACTCAACTCAATTATCATTATTGCATATGGAAAATTTGCAATTTTTTGGTTGTTTTTTTAATGAGCTGAACTTTGGATTCTTTTATCGACGGGGATTACGCAATCTGTTACACAAGTTGGTCAAGACGTCTCGGAAATCAGCATTGCATAGAGCACGTTCCGGAATCTCAGCGTCAATGAATACTAAAAGAGAAAAAAAAGTAATTATTTGAAAGTATCAATTCATCCAGATGATTATATACTATGATGTATCTGAATGTCCCTCTCTACAAACAGTAGATTACGTCTTCTCATTAAGAAACAAAGTATGAGCTGTCTGTGAAAATGTGATACCGAGAGTTTTAAACTCATTGATTGCGCTAGGAACTAACCTCTTACAGCCTTAGATACATCCACGGGTAGTTTTTCGCGTTTCTGTCCTCCACGAGAACGACCGGTTGGGGTCATTTTTATCAGAGTTTTCTCGCCCAAAATTTGTAGAAAAAGTTTTCTCTGCATTTCCCTAGCATCTTGACGATTGCGAGATGCAATGAAAGCCAGCTCACGCTTATCAATATAAACCCCAGTGCTAGCTACAAGCTCAACATCATGATGACCCTTTTGATTCCAATGAAAGATATTGACAGACCTGGCACTTGGACCTGCTTCTTGATGCTCAGTGTTTCCAGTAACTGCGCCGTCGGGATCATTTTTTACATTAACTGCAAGTGTTTCTTGCATCAGATGTTCTACATTGTGGTCCTTGGCCTCTACTGCACCATGGATTTGATTCTTTTCTAAGTTTCCATCTTTAAATGAGTCACTCATGCAACATTCTGATTTGATCAATTCATCTTCATTCACCAACTGGCCACCAACTGGGCCAGTCATGTGATCAAAATTGCAGTGATGCGGCGTTGATGTACTAACATGGCTTTCATTTTCATTATCGTCCTCGCCGTCGTCTGCCACCCTATCATCACTATTGTAATTATTCTGCTCAAAAAGATGATTATCCTGATCGTTGTTATCACCAACCCTACCGTCGCCATTTTTATTTTTTCCGTTATCATCTTTTTCATCCAACCCTTTCTCAGTATCATCTTCAAATATCTCCTTGAAATGACGATCATTATTAACGAGTTTATCATTATTATCTTCGCTATCACTGCCATCGTTCTTCTCTATGAAACTTCTGCAGTCATAAAATTCACGAGTGCTGTCATCATCGTGATGAACTCCATGCCCATCGAAAACCTCATCGTCATGGTGAGCACAGAATCTTCCATGGCTATCGGCCAGACCACTACGTTCCATTGCTTGATGCTGATCACCACTTTGACGACCATTTTGATCACCAATCACAATGGCACAATTTTCCAAAATCATCTCACCATCAGCATTAACATTATTCACTGCGTTGTTGGTGTTATCAACTGTGTGCGTCATAGGATCGATATGATGCCTGCCAACATTATGAAGATCGTTAACATCAACATCATAAGCTTCGTGGTGAACTGCGTTGCTGGCAGTGGCCTCGTTCTTGTCATCACAGATTTCACTATCGTTATCACAGCCCTTAACATCCTCCATTACATGGTCGTCATCACGATTTTTGTGACCATTTTCACCATCATCTACCATCTTGTCATCTTCCTCCTCAAGACCCTCTGTTTCATACTTTTCACCGTTGGTTCCACCGGTACTCGGATTCCCTTCTGTCAGTAGATCGACGTTATTAGGGTTCATCATTATCATCAGCTCGAGGAAGATACGGCGGAAGAGTTAAACAGCCTCGACGTCCAACCTCTATTTTTTTCAAATATTCTTCATCATCTGTTATATAATTGTTCAGATTATTCTTTAATTGTTTGGTTTATTTATTGATTGTTCGGTATTATGCAATAGCATTCGCTGTTCGGTATAATTTGTTGTTGTCCAGATATTCGGGATTCAAATAAGCGCGCTATTTACAATTCAAAAGTTTAGGGAATTTAGTTCCCTAGAGCGTCGCTAATGTGTAACTAGAAATCCCCAGAATATTCACCACACAATATTACCCAGAGTCCCGTTTGTCTGGAAATCAAGATGGCTGCCGTCATGGCAATTGCCATATGTAATATTCAATGAATGATACTAATTATAATATCAATAATAAACAATAAAAATTGTATGGAAATGATTCCGGCCACTTCTAGCTATCGTTCAAGTATAATATTGTTCGGTTCTTATCAAAACTCACAACGATGTGAGTGGATTTACATATGAGGCACGTGGCACATGAAATTGCCGGCCGGTGATCAATGTTAAGATCGATGTAAAAATATGATTTCACCATTGAATTTGTTGCGGATGTTCGGCTAAATTACTAGACAATATTCTGAAGGAATATTGTGGGACTTAATTGTGCGGAAGTATGAATATATTAATTATGACGGAGAATATACGTATCGTGTCTGTGCCGTACCGTAAATTAGTCAATTCTGACAATTGACTTTATACTGATATTAACTATTCACTAACTAACAGTGATACAAATAGTATCACACCGGGAGCTGCTTCGAAGTGGTTAACCTAACATTTCTTTATCGTCAACTTCCTGCCGAGCTGAATTATTTCAGTTATTCTCCCCGAATGAAAATACGCATAATTCTAGGTATATAACCTCAAATAATAATAAGAGAAAGCGTAGGGGAATAAAAAGTATTAGACAAATTAGGTGAGGTAAGCATGAGGTTCTCACTCTCTCATAACTCTTGAGAAGCATCGAATTCAACACCATTACGTCAATAGAGTCATCAATACCACCATGTACTGCAGCTACAACTACACCAACGTAATGCCTGTCATCGACATACGAGATCGCTGCTCTTTCCGAATACCGCTGGTACTACAGGATGTACCGGACCGATTTCTCAAGACGGTAATCCACAATTTGGATTATCAAGAATTGATGGAAAAGATGGAGGCTATCGGCCTGAGGGTAATAGGAGAATCACAAGTAGCTGTCCGACAGCGTGCCATACGATACGAACGGATCCGAAGGTTCGGACCTAATGCCGCACCCTGGCAAACAGAGTGGGACTTCACATGGAAATACCCGGTTCTCCTGGAGGTTGTGGTTGGCTGGTATACGTTCGTCCTAGTATTCCATCGTGGGCACCTAAATCACCACCGATGACGAGCAGTAATGAGGGAACACATATGCCAGCCGAACTTCCTCAACATCCAGAACAGGCGCTTAGAGTAACTGTATCTCCTCCATCCAGAACCGAACAGGTTAAGACACCTACTGTCCAAACCAGGGTACTTGTTACGTCTGGCATGTCACAAACATCAAGATCGAATGTTCAACAGATTCCGGTGAGTAGCACGCCGAAAGTGATTGAAACACCATCCACTGACGTCACGAAGTCACAGTCCTCACCGCTTGCGCCGATATTAGTGATAACGACACCAAAGCCACAAGTAGCAGCATCCAAGGTTACTACTTTACATCCTGGATCAACACCAACAAAGGATCGGATTAACATTACAAAGGTCACATCAAGTCGTCCAGAACAGGTGGCACAAGACAAGAGTCTAACGAAAAACGAAGGCAGAGACCCGAACGAGATTTCGACCATTCCAAGTGGTAATATACCACCAACGATTACCGAATCAAGGAGAACATCGAGTACCACTACAGCTGTAAAAACCGCAGTGAGTTTAAACCCGAAGACGTTGCCGGAAACGGAAAAGATTCCGAACACGGGTGACTTACATCTGCCTCGACCTGCGGTTAGATCTACTGCCGAACTCCTAATCACTGACTCAGAGAATACGGAATAGGGTATATTCACAACATCTCGGATCGTTACGCCTCACATAGACATCACTGAGACGATCTCGGTCCGAAATCAAGAGCAGGATGGTGGTATCCGAACGACTGCCGGAGAAAAGTCTCTTATCAACGACCCTCCGAAGAGTCCGCAAGACGTGGATGAACCATCGCCATCAAATCCGAAATATGATATCCACATTCCGGACGAATACAGCGTAGACGATGAAAGCTGTTCATCACCGAATGACAAATACCAAACTGTGGTAGTAATCGAAGGATCTGAGCCTAGGCAAGCCATCTGCACTCCTGATCTTACTACATTCCGAATGTCCAACTTGATCATGGCATGGAAACTGATCACGGCGAATGAGGCTGACACCTCGTATGATGAACTATGACCAAGACAGTTGCCTCATCAAAGTGAGGTGGAAGACGACAACAAAATGTTAAAGGAAAATACCCATCCGAACACCGCTCGTGATAACATGATTGAGTCGCAGTCGACCGAACAACTGGGTAATGACTCATTCACACCACCTCCCCAAGTCGTTGTCAATCCCGAAGAAATCCAACAACGGCGAGTATCAACAGACCACGGCTCAGTGCCCATCGGGATCTCCTCAACTGAGTCACCAATGGTAGAAGCCTTAGCATCAGCCGAATTGACACAACTTGCACCAAATGATCAAATACTGGACAATCCTCAAAATGAATTGAACGACATCACACCCGAAGAAGTTATCACTCCAATCGACCCCACTCGACAAGTGAGTGTCCGTTACCTGGATGGACCACAACCAAAGGGTGATTCCCTGGGCCAAGACGACCAGCTTTGGTGGTTATTGGTAGAAAGAGGAATCGCCATGCCATTCGACCCTGGTCCTCAGGAGGGAGTTAAGAACCATGATCCGAGACTACCCTGGAGTTCCGCAACGACACGAGTAATCGTCGACCCGGAATCCGGAAACGAATTCGGGAGTCCGTCCGGATCAATAAAATACACGGCCGTGATAGCGGATGTGGAAATTGGACGACAGCAACTAATACCAGGCTGAAGTCACGGGTCGAAACCTCAAGGCTGAACCTACGCTGGCCGCAAATAACCTGGGAGATCGAAGAGGAGCAATCTCTTGCAGCCATGCCAATCAAGCAGGGTGAACCAAATCCTGAGCCGAATATCTCGAACCGTCCGCAGTATCATCATAATGTCAACGTTATCACGGACGGAGGTGAAAACGGCCAACTGTCTTTGCAAGCCGCACTCAGGCATCACGGCACGTCGTCTACTGTACACCAAACGGATTCAATGATCGATATCGATTGGCACCTTGTACCATCCTTGAACAACTTCCCCGATCTGGTGAAGGCAGCAGTGCAGAGCTGGCCGAATTCGCAATATTTCACGCATCGCGAACCGTCGCTGAGATCGAGGAAGAGCGCGTTCACCGAGATGGTAAATCAGGGGGCACGACGATGGATAGTCGCTGTGACAGGCGTAAGCGATGAATCTCTAGCAATAATACTGCAATTTGACGAGGAAGCCAAACGGATGACGTCAAGATGCCGAATGATAAGTCTTCAACAGATGTTGAATCAGTGCCGAAAACAGGAGACATCAAACCTGCAATTGACACTATACAGAAGCCGAGCAAACCAGACTTCTTCAGAATACGGTCGAGATCAACCAGATTGTATATCTGTAGGATATGGTAGAAGAGTCTCTGGTGAAATAAGGCCACCAAACATCAGCTCGAAGGCCGAAGGCATCCCCCGTACCATGTTCTGGCAGATTCCAGCAAATATCGAGTTGACAGTGGTAAGCGCTGATGGTATTCGCTCTACACAGATCATCAGAAGAGTATCTCAAATATCTATTAGAGAAATACCGGAGCGAGCTGATAATTCAGTGACAGAGGAAGGAATGGCCTCTGTAAACCGAAATCATTCTACGGTACACGTGTCCAAATCGACACGAGAAGCAATACGGCCGAACGCGCAGATAGCGACGATTCAAGCAAACTATTCCGAGAATAGGAACGAGCCGAAGAGAAATAATATCTCGCTGAAAGTCGTTGTATTTGCAGAGTTACGCGGAAGAATACAAATATCACTGCAACACACGTTGCAGAAAATCATTGGACCGACAGTAGTTACTGAAAATCTAGCTGTCACCAGTGGGCCGAGAAGCTGCCGATATCCATCGTCCACATCTTTAATGCCGAACACTCACCAACCTAGCAGTCTTGTGGCATCAAGAAGTGATACATCTTCATTAGTAAACTGCCAAACTGCCGTATGCCGAATGAATGATCGGCAACTTCAACCATGGCCGCATTACTCGCAAACAACAGCCCGAATTCACATCACTCTTCAGGTGTTGAGAGAATGCAACCCGCAAATGATGTTGGAAGTCTGTACGGAAGGCATTAATGAACCTACCTTCCGACAACTCATACAACCACTGGCAAGCGTACTCATTCAAGGCACAGAGACCTGTATAATTATTGCCAAACAACTGCTCGAAGGCGTTGAAGTGAAACAACTACAAGGCTCCGAAGGTTGGCTCAAATCGCCAGCCTATCATTCCACACTCAGCTGTATTGGCAATTTCGCCATTCGTGTCTCGAAGTTTGAAGATATCCTCTCAGTGGATATCGGTAACGGCCGAACACCAGGCCGAACGGTTATAATACCGACTCAACAGCCTATCATCATTGACAGTAGATTATTGCCGAGGCCCTTCGACTCTGGTCCATGGCCGAATCCATCAACATCTCGATCCCACGTAAGTCTCGAAGTAATGAGAGAATACGAACGGCAGATGACAGCGAAAGTCTACCGAGAAAATATCAAGTAGTTCACCTATCAACAACTCACCCAGCTATCGGCAACCGAGCTTGTTGAAACCATCCAATCGACCCGTACA